CCGGGGGAGCCATTAAGGCTCGTGTCCAAGAAATTCGGCTTAGGGATTTCGACTTGCCACAAGATTGTTCTTGAGGTTTGTAAAGCCATCAAGGATGTCCTGATGCCAAAGTACCTTCAATGGCCAGATGATGAAGCTTTAAGAAACATTACAGAAGAGTTTGAATCGATTTCGGGTGTGCCGAATATCGTGGGTTCGATGTATACCACTCATGTTCCGATTGTAGCTCCTAAGATCAGTGTTTCAATGTACTTCAACAAGCGGCACACGGAGAGGAACCAGAAGACTTCATACTCGATCACTATTCAAGCCGTTGTGAACCCGAAAGGGGTTTTCACCGATTTATGCATCGGTTGGCCAGGGTCGATGCCTGATGATCAGGTTCTTGAGAAGTCTCTGTTGTATCAAAGGGCTAGTAATGGAGGTCTTTTGAACGGAATGTGGGTTGTAGGAGGAAAGGGACACCCATTACTGGACTGGGTATTGGTTCCGTACACGCAGAAGAACCTAACGTGGGCTCAGCACGCGTTCAATGAGAATATCGGGACGGTTCAATGGGTGGCAAAGGAGGCATTTGGGAGGCTGAAAGGAAGGTGGGCATGTCTGCAGAAGAGGACAGAGGTTAAGTTACAGGATTTACCTACAGTGCTGGGCGCCTGCTGTGTTCTTCACAACATTTGTGAGATAAAGGGTGAGAATTTGGATCCAGGGCTGGTTGCCCAAGTGATGGATGATGAGGTTGTCCCGGAGAATGCATTGAGATCGGTCCACGCCGTGAAGGCGAGGGACACAATAGCTCATAACCTTCTGCACCATGGGCGGGCGGGCACTTCTTTCCTATAAATAGGACATATGGATCTCGGATGTTCTTCTTTACTCTTTCCTCTAATTTTTTTTGGGGGCGTAAACTCTTTCTTCTTTGATTCTTTGCTTCATGCATTGTACTGTACCTAATATCACAGATGCTACTTAAAGAAGAAGAAGAAGCTTGCTTATTCTACTCTTTTTCCACAGTCAGCCTCTTTCACAACTCATGAACATGAATGAATATGATTCAACCGAGACAACGACAACAACAATATGGCCTCATTCCCAAGTTCATTTGGGGTCGGCCGCATGAATCCAACCGAAACGTGATGGGAAAATCTTGACATTCATCTCTGATAGTTCCTCGTTCGGAAGTTTCCGGGTCGCAGTTTTCTTGATTGGTTCCTCGGTCATTTAAGAATGTTCGACAGGGACCAGAGGACCTATAGATAGAGATACATAGAAATACAATCACCTTGTATTCAAAGGAACCTGAAGTTGATGTATCTTCACCTTCTGCAAGCAGCAAAACGACGGTGATGGCCTTTGTGTGCCTACGTCTGTCAGTGGCTAAGCTCTCATGATATGGCAGTCGAAGAATGCTGGTTCATCAGGAGCAATAAAGACCAAGGATCGGTGGCAATTTATGTCAATTAGGACAAGATCGAGTGAAGAAACTAGTTCCTATCTCCTCTTTCCATGAAAATTCAATCACGAAATGCCAACTATATGAACGCCACGAAGCAAGGTCATCTGAAATTCACAAATTAGCATCTGAAATTCAACTGAATTCGAAACCAATACCCAGAAAACGCCATGGATTTTTCATCTGTTTCTCAGCAACCAAACAGACTTAGACCCAGAAAACTCGTAGAAACCAATCAATTTATTAAAAAAAAAACCTTAAAAAATCAAGCAGGATCACCTCGACAACCATTCGATCCTAATCAGTGGGATTCCATTTTCTCTTCCCGAAAATTTTCTGGAAAATTCAACCTGAACGATCTGCGGCCGTTTCCGGCCGACGAACTTCGCCGGCGCTGGAATTTCACGATCCCATCGGGAGCAGTTCGAACTAGAGTTTATCTCCTCCATCTCTCTCCATCGGAACAGCGAGTAGAAATTACCGTTCCGCCGGCTCACATGTCCGATCCACCGCCGTCACGGTTGTCGGAGAACTTCGCCGCCGCCGGAGTTTCACGATCCGATCGATGGCTCCGAATCTGGACCAGGTTAGACCTCTAATGGGCCCAGATAGACCGATTCACTGTTCGTGGGCCTAGAAATCTTTTTTACGATTATTCATTTTAGTTAATTTTATTTCTGTTTTAGTTTTGACGGTTTTATCTAACTTTTTTTATTCTCAATTTATGGTCAGGTCGATTCGTTTTCACCAGTCTCTCGGAAAAACTCCGACAAAACTCGGATCACCTGTCTCATGACTTAAACGAGATCGCCAAACACAGATATAATATTTTTATTTATTCATATAAATGATATTGTAATATATAATTTATATATCAGATTCAATCTAGGGTTCGATCGGTTCCAATGAAATTATAAAATAATTAATGTTATACAAAAAAAAAACATCAATTCGTGACTCGTCGAGGTAATTCGAGACTCGTTTTCAAACGAATCTTAAGAACATCGATTCAATCCGTTTAAAAATGAGACGGCAACAAGAAAACTCGGGGGGACTTTAGCTCGTTTTGACATCCGATGATTGGTATCCAGATAAATAAATATAAAAAGAATTTTCTGGGATTATTGATTCCTCAGAAGGCACGACACGACAGAAGGCGAGACTGTAAGACTTTGTAACACAGCAATGGACGTCTGTCTGAGAGCTCTTGCGTGTACGGATAAAGGCTAAGACAGAGCTGTTTATTGGCGGATTAAATGAAGCGAATGCAGTTGATCTGTGCAATGTTGCTGGTTTTCAAAAGGGCCGGTTGCCTGTACGTTACTTGGGAGTGCCTTTTGTTTGACCCGAGATAAGGATCAGTGGCACTTCGGTCTGGGTGAGTGAGCACTCAAATTTAACCAGAAACTTCTGTTTCAGAAAATACAGAAACAGAGAGAGAGAAATTCAAGAATACTCAATAATCTCATTAAACTAGAAACGATTACATATATAGGAAAGTAATAACTTAAGAACAGAAACAAAAATCAAATCAACCTCTAAATCTGCTAACCAAATCAATTCAAATAAACTATCCTAAAATCTTGCAAAGACAGAAAAGGAAAGATGATAGTGCCAGATTTTGACAGAATCTGGAAACTGATCCTTTTCAGCCTTGAGTCACGTTTGAACTAACAATCTCCTCCTTGACGAAAGGCCTTGAGCACACACCGATCATTCTCCTCAGTTGTTCGAATCTTCCGGCATGAAAGCTCTTTGTAAACAAATCCGCATATTGCTCCTCTGTTCTGCAGTGAACTATATTCACTTCTCTCTCTTCTTGAACTTGTCTGAGATAATAAAATTTGATTTTGAAGTGTTTAGTTCTCCCGTGGAACACTGGATTTTGAGAAATCAAAATAGCTGCCTGATTATCAACAAATAAATCAGTAGCTTCCTCACACTTCAAGAACATATCCTCCAACAGTTTTCTGATCCACACAGCATGATTTGTTGCTGCAGTGGCCGAGATAAACTCAGCCTCGGCTGTTGATTGTGCTACGACAGTCTGCTTCTTCGAGCTCCACGAGAAGCAGCCTGAACCAAATGAGAAACAGAATCCCGACGTGCTTCTCATGTCATCGACACACCCAGCCCAGTCACTGTCGGAGTAACCGACCAAACCAAACTCTTCACATCTGGAAAATCTTATTCCAAATGTCTGAGTACCTCTTAAGTATCTGAGGACTCTCTTTGCCGCCACCCAATGCTCCTTCTTGGCACAATTCAGAAATCTCGAGAGTGTATTTACAACAAACAGGATATCAGGCCTTGTTGCTGTTAAATACATCAAGCATCCGACCAAACTTCTATATGTTCCCTCCTGAACTTCTTCACTCTCATCTGATTTTTGCAGCTTGGAACTTGGATCCATTGGAGTTCTCATTGCCTTGCAATGCTCCATCTTGAATCTGCTCAGAATCTGTTTGAGATACTTCTCTTGGCAGAGAAACACTTCACCAGATTTCTGACAGATTTCGATCCCAAGAAATTGTGCCATCATTCCCAAGTCTGTCATCTCGAACTCCTTGCACAACATCCTCTGCAACTCACTGATTTCCTCAGCTTTATCTCCTGTGACAAACAAATCATCAACATAGAGTGATATGATCACAATTCCAGCTTTACCTCTCTTCACATACAGAGTATGTTCACTCAAGCTTCTGATAAAACCCAATTCTCTGAGGTAGCCATCAATCTTCTCATACCAAGCTCTAGGAGCTTGTTTCAAGCCATAAAGCGCCTTTTTCAGTAAATACACCTTATCCTCTTGGCCTTTAATCTCAAACCCTTGCGGTTGCTCGATATAAGTCTCCTCTTTCAGCTCCCCATTTAGGAACGCAGACTTGACATCAAGATGATTGACTATCCACTCTTTCTGCACTGCAATGGCCAGCAACATCCTGATCGTGTCGAGCCGAGCAACAGGGGCGAAAGTTTCTGAATAATCAACTCCCCAAACTTGTGAATAGCCCTTCACCACAAGCCTAGCTTTATGCTTGTTTAACGAGCCATCAGGATTGTATTTGGTTCTGTAGACCCATTTAACCCCGATGATCTTCTTCCCTTTCGGTCTCGGAACCAAAACCCATGTCTGATTTTTCTCAATCATGTTAATCTCCTCCTGCATTGCATTCCTCCAACTCTGATCATTTCTAGCTTCTTCAAAGCTAGATGGCTCAAGAACAGCCACATTACATCTGTGATAGATGTCTTGCAAAGTTCTTGTGCCTCTCACAGGGAGATCATCGGCAGATTCAACATCTTCAACCTCCACAATCTCATCGTTGTTCTGCCCATGATTTTCAGATTGTTGAGTGTGAGTTTCAGCTTCACTAGTGAGTGGTCCTTCGGTTTGAGTGAATGGCTCTTCATCCTCACCGAAGTCTTGCCATTTCCATCCTTCAGACTCAACAAACTTGACGTCTCTACTCACAATCATCTTGTTCAGAACTGGCAAAAACACTCTATATGCCTTTGACGCAAGGCTATATCCCATAAACACACCTTCTGCAGCTTTTCCATCCAACTTATCTCGCTTTGCCTCTGCGATCAACGAATAACAGAGACAACCAAACACTTTAAGATTAACCACAGAAGGTTTCTTACCAGTCCACATCTCAAATGGAGTTTTAGACACCAAGGCTTTAGTTGAGAGTCTGTTCTGCAGAAATACTGCAGTCGAACACGCTTCTGCCCAAAACTTCTTTGGCAGGCTTTTCTCCTGAAGCAAACATCGAGCCATCTCCACAATAGACCTGTTCTTCCTTTCACTTACCCCGTTCTGTTGAGGCAAGTAAGGAACACTAAACTGCTGTTTGATTCCAGATTCTTCGCATATAGCTCGAAACCTTGAGGATGTATACTCTGAGCCATTATCAGATCTGATAATTTTCATCTTACAACCACTCTCATTTTCAACCTCAAGTTTAAACTTCAAGAAGATTCCATCAGTTTCAGATTTCATCTTCAAGAAGAAAATCCAGCAGAATCTCGAGTAATCATCAATAAAAATCAAGAAATACCTGTTACCAATCAAGGAAGGAATAGGCATCGGCCCACACAAGTCTGTGTGTATCAGCTGTAATTTCTCCTGTGCTCTCCAAGTGGAAGCTTTGAATGGTAATCTCCTCTGTTTTCCAAGAGCACAAGCTCTGCAATCAGGTATCTCTCTGTAGGTTTCAGGAAGACCTTGAACCAACCCATTCTTCATCATATTCAGCACTCCCTTTCTATGAAAATGGCCGAGTCTCTTGTGCCAAAGCTCATCTTCTGTCACTTGACTCTGCAATGCATCGTATGTTTCATTTTCAAAAGAAAACAAGAAGGCTTTACCTCTCATAGGTATCCGAAACAATACAGGAGTTGTTTCAGACCCAATAATGCATTCATTCTTGTCAAAAATGACTTTGTAGCCTTTGATCACCAACTGAGGTACACTTAGGAGATTCTGATCTAACTTTGGCACATACAACACTTCTGTCAACAGCTTCTTAGTGCCAT